ACAAATGTACTGGCTCCTTCATCAGGAGTTCATGCCAGTCTGTGATTTACACAGGCTGATCTGGCACACATTTATGTTCTTGTAAAGGCTTTCTGTAGTTTTAGCTAAGTCACTTAACCTCTTCCCATCTATAAAAAGACAATGATGGTATTAATTTAATGTTACAGAAGCACTGTCAGTTATGAAAATTTTTAAATATATATTCAGAATAGAGTTTATTCTGCTTTATTCAGGTAGAACTTTTTTAAAACAACAAAAATTTCATCTAAAGGCAGGAAGACCTGGTGCAAAAATGTAATTGCCAAATATAATGATTTAATAAATAGAAACCAGTAGCTAAGAACTATTGAAAGACTGGGTTTACTACACATGTACTCATATTACACAATGTAAGATCAACTAGCTAAAGTTAGCAACATTTACATACAGCTTTAAAAGTTAATAGCTCATTAAAAGCCTTTATCAGAAATGTTGAACAAGCTCTCTAAGCATAATTTTATTTATCTATCTCCTTCTAGTGGCAGAACATGAAACCCAATACTCAAAAACTTGGTTTTGTTATCTTCTAAACCCCTTAAATACAGCAGCCCACACTAGCAAATGATATAAACTATTATTTTAAAATACCTGATAATTAACACTTGTAATATTCCAAATGTCTGTTCCACAGCTATTATCCTCTGTAGTCAAAACTCAAGCCTTTGCCGGATTAAAAGGTAACACGCCCCAGCATCTTTTTCTATATTTAGAACTAATCCAAATTTATAGGCTGTTCCTACCACAGGAGTATGCAATATCATAGAATCATAGAATGGTTTGGGTTAGAAGGGACCTTAGAGATCATCTAGTTCCAACCCCCCTGGCCATGGGCAGGGACACCTTCCACTAGACCAGGTTGCTCCAAGCCCCATCCAACCTGGCTTTGAACACTGCCAGGGATGGGGCAGCCATGACCTCTCTGGGCAACCTGTCCCAGTGCCTCACCACCCTCACAGTGAAGAACTTCTTCCTTACATCTGACCTAAATCTGCCCTCTTTCAGTTTAAAGCCATTACCCTTTGTCCTATCACTACATGCCCTTATAAAAAGTCCCTTTCTATCTCTCCTGTAGGCCCCCTTTAACTACTGGAAGGCTGCTATAAGGTCTCCCCGGAGCCTTCTCTTCTCTAGGCTGAACAACCCCAACTCTCTCAGCCTATCTTCATAGGAGAGGTGCTCCAGCCCTCTGATCATCTTTGTGGCCTTCCTCTGGACTCGCTCCAACAGGTCCATGTCCTTCTTATGTTGGGGGCCCCAGAGCTGAATGCAGTACTGCAGGTGGGGTTTCACCAGAGTGGAGCAGAGGGGGAGAATCACCTCCCTCAACCTGCTGGTCACGCTGCTTTTGATGCAGCCTGGGATACAGCTGGCCTTCTGGGCTGCGAGCGCACATTGCTGGCTCATACTCAGTTTTTCATTCACTACTACCCCCAAGTCCTTCCCTGCAGGGCTGCTCTCAATCCACTCATTGCCCAGCCTGTATTTGTGCTTGGGATTGCCCTGCTTGCACTTGGCCTTGTTGAAATTCATGAAGTTTGCATGGGCCCACCTATCAAGCCTGTCAAGTTCCCTCTGGATGGCATCCCTTCCCTCCAGCCTGTCAACCACACCACACAGCTTGGTGTCATCAGCAAACTTGCTAAGGGTGCACTCAATCCCACTGTCCATGTCGCCAACAAAGATGTTAAACAGTGCTGGTCCCAATACCAACCCCTGAGGAACGCCACCCATCGCTGATCTCCACTGGGACATCGAGCCATTTACCGCAACTCTTTGAGTGTGACCATCCAGCCAATTCCTTATCCACCAAGTGGTCCATCTGTCAAATCCATGTGTCTCCAATTTAGAGACAAGGATGTCATGTGGGACAGCGTCAAACGTTTTGCACAAGTCCAGGTACCTGACGTCAGTTGCTCTTCCCTTATCCACCAATGCTGTAACCCCATCATAGAAAGCCACCAAATTCGTCAGGCACGATCTGCCCTTAGTGAAGCCATGTTGGCTGTCACCAGTTACCTCCTTATTTTCCATGTGCCCTAGCAGAGTTTTCAGGAGGATCTGCTCCATGATCTTGCCAGGCACAGAGGTAAGACTGACTGGCCTGTAGTTCCCCAGTTCTTCCTTTTTTCCCCTTTTTAAAAATGGGGGTGATGTTTCCCCTTTTCTAGTCAGTGGAAACTTTCCTGGACTCCCACAACTTGTCAAATATGATGGATAGTGGCTTAGCCACTTCATCCACCAGTTCCTTGAGGACCTGCAGATGCATCAGGTCTCATCAGGTCCTATGGACTTGTGCACCTTCAAGTTCCTTAGATAGCCTCGAACCTGATCTTCTCCTACAGTGGGCGGTTCTTCATTCTCCCAGTCCCTGCCTTTGCCTTCTGTGACATGGGTAGTGTGGCTGGAGCACTTGCCGGCGAAGACTGAGGCAAAAAAGTCATGAAGTACCTCAGCCTTCTCCATGTCCTGGGTAACAAATCTTCTGTTTCCTTCCAGTGAGAGCCCACATTTTCCCTAGTCTTCCTTTTATCACCAACATACCTGTAGAAGCTTTTCTTGTTGCCTTTGACGTCCCTGTCTATCAGGGCTTTAGCTTTCCTAACTTGATCCCTGGCTGCTCAGACAATTTCTCTGTATTCCTCCCAGGCTACCTGTCCTTGCTTCCACCCTCTGTAGGCTTCCTTTTTGTGTTTGAGTTTCTCCAGGAGCTCCTTGTTCATCCCTGCAGGCCTCCTAGCATTTTTGCCTGACTTCCTCTTTGTTGGGATGCATCACCCCTGAGCTTGGAGGAGGTGATCATTGAATATTAACCAGCTTCTTGGGCCCTTCTTCCCTCCAGGGCTTTATCCCATGGTACTGTACAAAGCAGATCCCTCAAGAGGCCAACATCTGCTCTCCTGCAGTTCAGGGCAGAGAGCTTGCTGTGCACCCTCCTCGCTGCCCTAAGGATCTTGAACCCCACCATTTCCTGGTCACTACAGCCAAGGCTTCACATTCCCTACCAGCCACTCCTTGTTGGTGAGAACAAGGTCCAGCATAGCACCTGTCCTTGTTGGCTCCTCCATCATTTGGAGAGGGAAGTTATCATCAACGCATTCCAGGAACCTCCTGGATTGCTTATGCCCTGCTGTGTTGTTGCTCCAACAGGTGTCAGGGTGGTTGAAGTCCCCCATGAGGACCAGAGCTTGCAAATGTGAGGCTGCTCCTATCTGTCTATAGATGGCCTTATTCGTTCAGTCTGCCTGGTCAGGTGGTCTGTAGCAGACTCCCCCCTATGATATTCTAAAACAAGCTCTAATAAAAGAATAATTAAAAACGTGAAGCTTAACAGAAAATGAGATGAAGCCTAATGCTGGCTTCCCAAAGAAAAACCCTGCTAAACTTACTTAATATGTTTCAGATCAGTGATTTTTCTAGGAAAAGGAGAAACGCGTTAGATCACACATATCTGGACGTTGTTAAACACTTGATATGGTGCTATGCTGAAATTTATGTTTATCTTACGAAGGTTAAGTAGACGGTGGAAGAAAATCTACAGTGAAATCCCTTGGGATCAGTTTTTATTTAACATTTTTGACACAACGAGTAGGAAGACACTTCTGGTACAAAATAAGAAACATAGCATACAGAAGGAAAACAAGGGAGAACTACATTACAAAAAACAGTATGAAAGTGAGGATTATGGAGTGCAACATCCTGCACTTATAAAGAAATAAATTAACACGTTATCTCAGAAATCCTTGTCAGAGGGAAATCAGACAGGAGCGTATTCGAACCTTACAAGATAACCAGAAAGCATCAGGCAAAGGACGTGAATATAGCAAATACAATTTAACCATACACAAAGCAAAACATTTCCCTTTCTTCCAGTGAAGAAGGGTCTGGCAAGATTTAATCTGCGATGGTGCATATAAGGCTAGCCCACAAGGAGGGAGATGAGCGGCACAGGTGCAGAGACAGGGCTACTAGGATGAAGAGGGAAACCAGGACTCTGCCTAGGAGGGATGATGCGCCTTGTTCAACTTGGGAAACGAGGGCTGAGCAACGGGGCTGTGACTCCACTCCGGCAAAGCGCTGGGTCTGTGGAAAACCTCATAGTTGGCGGAAAGCTCGGGTCCAGCCGACGCGGCGCCGGCAGGAGGGCAGCGAGGTACGGCTCGCAACGGGCGGGCAGGGGCAGGAACACGAAGTCGCTCAGGCTCTGGAAGCCGCTCCCTGATGCGGCCGCCCCGCCTCAGCCTAACCCCGGGGAGCCCTCTTCCCCCCCCCGGGCTGCCACTCCTCCTCTCCCGCCCTTGACGCCGCCCGTCCTTCCTCCCGCTCCCACAGCCCCGCATCTTACCCCCGACCTCTGGCTCCTCCCTAGCCAAGCTTCACCCTCTTCCCCAGGGCCGCCGCGCACCCCTGCACCGCCGTACTCCCCCCGCTCCTCACGTCCCACCGCTTAACGGTCGCTGCGGCGCGCGCCTCACGCCCGCCTCCTGCTGGGGGGCGGCTGGGCGCGAGCGGCAGCTCGCGGGCGTTTGGGAGGGGCCACCGTTGGCGCCGTTTCCAGCCACCGCCGCCGCCGCCGCAGGGAGGGGCGGAGGGGCCGGTCGCCCTCTAAGATGGCGGCGCCGGGGCCACGTGGTGCGCGCTGAGGTGAAGGCGGCGGGGGGGGGAGCGGGGTGTTCACTGGTGACATGGCGGCGGCAGAGAGCGCGGAGGAGGGCGAGAGGAAAGATGAAGCAGAGGAAGACGAGGTGGAGGTTAGTGCCTGCCGGCATCGGGACGCGCTCCCCGGGCGTTCCCCTTCTTAGAGGAAGGGACGTGGGCCGGCCCCCCTCGGGGCGTGTCCGTCCTGTGGACCCGGCCCGGCCCCTTCTCCGTCCCCCGCCGCTGAGCCGGCCGGGACGGGCTGCCTGCCGGGTGGCGGTGAGGGGCCCTGCGCCCGCCCTCCTGTGGGCTACCGGGGCCGAGCACCTGCTCCGGGGCCCCACTGAGGCAGGGGGTGGCTTTTCTCCTCTCGCCGTACCTCGGCAAGGCCTTCCCCGCTTCCCTGGAGCCGGTGCCTGCGGTCCGCCGCCGTGCCGCTGCTTGGGGGACGGCCGGCGGGGCAGGCGGGACGCCTGAGGAGAGCCGGGCGCGGGGGCTGCCATTACCCGGGCTGGCGGTGGGGTCGGGCAGAGGGCGAGCGCTTTTCCTTGGGCCCGTCGGGCTTCTCTGCTCCCCGCAGCGGTCGTGTCCCGAAAGCTGGATCGTTTTGGCTCTTCTGCTTCAGGTTTTCTGGAAAACGGCGTTGTCGGAAAGCGCTCCTCCAGTTTCAGTTGCTTCCTACCCCCATGACACCTGAAAATACAAACTATTGCTTTTCTATTATTGTGTATATTTATTCATGGATGCTTAGTAGATGGTGATCCTTGAAAACTTACTTTCCTTGAATAGAGGATTTTTTTCAAGGTGGCTATTTTTTTGTTTTGTTTTTGCACTTTCCTCACCCAAAATTGTAAGGAATCGCAAACAGGAATTGATTTCAAAGCAATATGTTATAAAGAGTTAAAACTAACCATTTCAAGCAACATGTTGTTTAACTTAACCTTTTGCTGTGGTGTCTTATTTAGGTAGGTACTAAATCTTTGGAAAAAATGTATTTTGGAATATGTAACCGGTCATATTGTTACGATTCATAAATCATTTATATCCATCCTCATTTTTTCAAGGGTGAAAAAAGAGCTCCCTTCCTAGCTAGGAAGAAAAGCCCAGGAAAATCAGGTGTGAAACAGGTGTCTCATGGAGTAGTGGGTCACTGCATTCCCCTGGGTGTTGATTGCAATATGTCTGCCCTTCTCTCTAGATAAAATGCAGAATAAGTCAGATCTGGGGTCTGTTTATTCTGAAGGTCTGGGTCTTTATATGCTGTTCTTTTTGTTTTGGGTTGGTTGTTGGGTTTTTGGGGGGTGCTCCCCCCCCCCCAAGTTCAGGTATATCAATTACAGGTGTACATTATAAACTTATCTTGTAGGAGCAACTGGTCATGGTGGAACTATCAGGAATTATTGATTCAGACTTCTTAGAAAAATGTGAAAACAAATGCAAGATTTTGGTGAGTGATTACAGCACAATAGGAAAGGGGTAAGTCAGTACACATGTGAACAAGGGACTGAGGCTGTTTCTAAATTCCTTGAAGTGAAAAACATTTAGATCAAATCATTGATAGAGAATTATATGTGCTGTCTTGGCTGTATTTGGCTGCATGTTGTGGGCTATCTCTATTTCAGAAATGGCATATGGTCTTTGAACATAGTATTATGTAAATATAAGGAAATATTTTCAGAAGTATTTATAAGCTACGACCATTATCCCCTCTGATTTCAAGCTCTAAGTTCATTTTTTTTAAATTATGTATTTTACATGCTTAAAAAAATATATTCTTAAGTGTACTTCTTCAAGTACCTTAAATACAGCTGACGGGTAAAGCCAAAGTCTTTCTGAATTGCACTGTATTTGCAATGGGTTTTTTTGCAGATACTGCCTGGCAAGTCCAAGTGTTGTGAATGTGAAGGATAACTGGGTATTAAGCATTTGGTAAACAGTTTTGGATGTTTGCTTCACTGTGAGGTTGTTGTAAGAATCTGGCTTACCTGTCCTTTTCCTTTTGAGTTGTTTAATCACTTTCTCTGTATGGGACAAATTTTTTTTGCCCTTCAAAACTTATGTGGACTCTGAGAGCCCTATAGATAGTACAAGTACTATTGATTTGCAAATACTTTCTGAAACTAGGCCTTTATCATAGATTGAAGAGTTGGAAGAGAACATCTCGGAGTATGCCACTGATGAGAATATATGTGAGGTAGTAAAGTCAATTCTGAAAATCTCAGATGTAGAAATAAAACCAAAACTTGTAAATTATCCATCACTGGATGGATATGCTTTTATAAGCAGATTTGCTTTCTGGATCCGACCTAAGTTGCTTGACATGTATTACACAGATGATTCATTACTGGTGGCTGAATGGCTACATATTCTTCAATAACATTAATGGGATTCTTTTAAATTTTGTGCTTTGATTTTCTCTAGTAATGTTACTAGAAAAACCTTTAAGTATCTATACTGTATCCTACTCGTATCCAAATCTACTTGTTCTTGCTCTGCAGAGTAAGCATTCCTTGAGATTTCTCATAATGGACAGCTGTTCCTAAAACTCCAATAAAAGATTCTGCTTTGGGTTAGTCTGTTTAGCAAGTTTTCTGTGATTCTGGTCATATAAGGGGAAGACAGTCTCTGTTTTTGCATAGTCCAAAAAGGAATGCAAATTAGCCAAAGAAATAAAGTTTTGAATATTAAAAACCTTAATGCTGTTGCCTCGTACTGATATGTTCGTTTTTTTATTAACTTCCTATGGTAAAAAAAACCAACCAAAAATATGTTCTACACATTAGGTTAATGCTATTGTTGTTCTCAAGTTATGCAACAGAAGGAGAATCCCAGAGCTTAAACTTTTCTGATCTTAGATACTTCTGTTTTTTAAAAGTACAGGAGGAAAATTGCACAAATTCCTATTAACCTGTGTGATATTCTGTATTTTATGCAATTTACCACATAGTGCTTCATCTTCAAAACTTTTAGCATGTGCTTATGCTCATGTCCTGAATAATGTTCATGATGTACTATTAAAAGACATTTTGCCTTAATTAGTGTATTCTGTTCAGGCATTAATTTTTATCAAAACACAATTTATAGGTATATCTTATATTAAGAATAATGGGATCCTTGCCTGTATATTTGGAAGAGCTCTGCTGTAGAGGAAGGGAATGAGCTGACAGAACTGCTGCCTTACTCTCCCACTCCTTTTTTAAAAAAGTAAAATTAGATAACAACAATTTCCAACTCCTTCACAATGTAGACACACAGTAATCACAGAAGCTTCTGTGACCCTGCAGTTGCACTTCCGGTGCTGGTGTAATGCTTCAAGCCAGACTTATTCACCTTGTGTATTTTCAAAAGACTTTTGAAAGTTATTCCACTTTATAGAACTTGTATTAATTGGAGCTTAGAAAATAATATCTTTTTTCATGCAATTACATATATTTTTATTTGTTAATTTAAAATAGAGGTTAAATTGATTTCCTAGAGGAAATAACAGCACTTTAAATTTATTTACTGTTACCTAAATAGACTGTTGGCTGCAGTTTGATCTAAATTTCTTTGATCCTTTTTAACATACTAGAGCATTTTCTATACCAGTTCAGCATTGTTGGTTTTGTTGTGATTAGTAGAACGGTATTATCTGGCATATTCTTTGTATTTAATATACTGAAAGTAACATGTATGATGATAGACTGAAAAACTGTCATTGCATTTTATTTTTACTAACAGTACACTGATTCTACAGTAAGATTGGCTAAACCCTTTGTAACAGTTGTTATGACTGCTTAACTAAGCCTCGTACAAAAATGTAAAGAAAACTCCTTCTCCCCCCACCCCCGATGCTTAATAATGCAGAAGACCTCAGGGTTAATTGTAATGTCTAAAACTACTTTTACTACATTTCTTGAAAACTAATAAATATTAATTTAATTGCATGTCTTGCCATTCTTTCAGGAGTCTGCTGGCTTCTGTAAAATCATATCCTCTGCAGAACTCTCTTACCAACTTCCACTGTTTTAAAGATGTACTTTTCTTCGTATGAAGCTGATGGTTTGAGAAAGCTTTACAGTCTGGAATCCATTCCTTTTTAATACTAAAAGAAACCTTTTATTTCACATTTACTATGTTATGCAACACTTATTTTACTGTTATTACCTTATGTTGTTTTTTTTAACTATTTATCTTTTCAAGGAATTGATGTAATCTGGATTCTGCTATATCTGTCTTCTCTGGTCTTACAGCAAGAAATTTACCTGTAAGAGACCTGACATCTGTACAATTTTGTCCCCCTTTTTGTAGGGAATAGAGACAGAGAGGCCCATTTTACAAGTGGACAGATATGTATTTGCAGGAGAATATGAAGGTAGGAAAAATAATGTGGATGCAATCTCTCCTTTTTCATGTGACCCAAAGAACTTTCTTAATGTCAGTTAATTGCACTGCAAATGGAGAACATGGTCCCATGAGGTGCTGAAGTTCTGGATGGTATTCGTATAACACCATATAGAGCAGCACCAGTCTGAGTTCACTGCTAAATTAGCCATGCATCCATGTTACTTACTGGAAAGTATGCCTGGAAGCTGACTCTGGGGTGTCCCAGCTGGTATTTCTGCAGGGAAAAACGTGGGACATAAAATGCCTTAAACTAAGTGCTGCTTGTCTCCTGTATGAGCAGGACTGACATGTTGTGCAATCTGCAGTTCTCCTATTTGCCTTATGGTGACAACATCGGTCTGGAAGAAAATGATCTGGAATCCTCCCTTGTAGTGACTTTCAGTGACCATGATATTCCTGTCTTGTTCCTGATGTGGCAGTGTGGTTACCAATGCTGGCCCTTTGCGAGGGTCTGGAAGTTGGAACGTTCCCAGAGCTGTGCCAGTGGGTGCAGTACCTACAGCTGATAGAAATTAGTCTCTAAGACTTTCTCACTCTGTTTTCCGTAGATACCTTGGGAACCTGTGTGGTTTTTGAAGAAAACACAGAGCATGGTAATTGTGATTTGATGTCCTGTTTGTTGTGGTAGCTGGGGAGGTTAAAAATATGTAGCTTATTTCAGTTGATGGTGGAATTCACTATAATGATTGCATCTGGGGTGTTGTTTTTTCTCCTGTTTTCATAGTAGATGCAGAAGGCAACCAGAAAGTACAGCTGAAATACAAGTGCCATACAATGAAGAAGTTGAACATGACACGGACACTTTTGACAGAAAAGAAGGAAGGAGAAGAGAATGTTGGTTAGTGCCCCTGCTCTTATGCATAGGGACATGGATGGATTATGCTTAGGAGTGTCAGCCTTGATTAAGACTTTGATTCAAGAGCATGCAGGAAGTTAGAGGAACTTTTCTTCTGTAGACAACAAATGTGTATATTTAAATACAAAACAAAACAAAAAAAAGAGAGGGAGAGGGAGAGGTTCCTTCTGATCAGTGTTGCTTCCAGAAGTGGCTACTAGGAGCTTCCTACAGAAGAGCAGGGCAAACATATGCTGATGTTCCCTGGTATGTTTTTTTTGTCATCTAAAAGTTTTGGCACTGGTTGTGAAATCAGAGGTGCAGTTTAGTAGTTCTTCATTGATTTTTTTTTTTTTTCTTTTTCTCATCAATTTTTCTAATGACTGTTTGAGTCTCTGTAATTGTTGAAAATCTTTAATATCCTTAGTAAGAAGTTCCATGTTGTATGTACTACAACTGAATTGTTCTTACTGAATTTACAGTTAACTAAAGATTGATTTAACTTACTTGCAAAGGCACACTTAGCAGACTATTGATCTTGATTTTCATTCTGTGGGCAGAACTCAGTGCTCCTGTTTGCTTTATTTCAGTGGTGGTTTTTTGAACAGAAATCAGATATCTTACATAGTCAGATACTGAGTATCCTATATAGTAGTATTCATTAGCAGTATCATGTTGCTTTTAGTTGCTTTTTTCATTGAAGTCAGTGTTACTGCTTCATATTTTAAGATTATGTTGCCATTTTACATGAAACATGGGCAGTCAGCTGGACATTGTTCATAGGAGGTATAACACGAAATGTTATCCAGAAACTAACCAAACATCAGCATTCCTATGACAGCATGTACTATTTCTTCTCTCCATATAATTAAGTAGGTAATATTAAACAGAAGCTTTTATTTTAAAAGTACAATAGACTAGAGAATATGTTGCTATCTTTTTCTGGAGGAGCAGTAACAATGATACCTGCTGAAAAACACTTTGTTTCTGTACCCAGACAGAATTTTAATGTTGTGCATACAAAGTAACCACAACATTTTGTGAATTGGCAACGTGTACTGCCTAAAAATCTTAAGTGGGTGGGGAATCCCAGTTCTGTTTGGAGTCTGTTTGATCTATGTTGTAAGAGCTTGACATACTTGAGTTCAGGTGATGACACAAAATCTTACACTATCTCTGATGTCATTCCCTATCATATTGCCAGATGTTCTAAGATCTAGGTGAACAACCATTTTCTCTTTATTGCATTTGTAAAATATTTTCTCAGCATTTTGAGTTATATTGAAGTTATTTTAAGAGTATAAGGGTGGAGTCTGACACTTCCATACAACAGGAACTACCATACTGGATTGGACCAAAGGTATTTTAGGCCTGTATTGTATTTCTGACTATGGACAGTAGTAAATGGGTATGTGGAAAGTAGCAGGATGGGGACATATACATGAGTAATCTTTTTTTTTTGGCTATCCTTCCAGTGTTTAGCAGTTCATGAATATCCTGAGAAGAGTTTTCATCTGGACTACTATGTCTTTAGTCCATAAAGGCTCTGTCATCTTCACTTGCTTTTTCAACCTGTCTATACTTTCGAATTCTACCACTTTTTATGGCAGTTAGTTTTCAAATCACATTTCTGTTGTATGGAAAAAGTACAGCTTTACTGTGGGTTTTCTTGATTGTTTGTTTGCTTTTGTGGTTGTTACAAATGCATGATCTGGTGCTTCCAATGAGTGCAAGTTGCTTATTTTCTTAGTAGAATTAGGAGGCAAGTCAATCCCTATTTGTTTGCCCAGTACAGTCTTATAGACATCTACCCCCTCTGAGCTGTCTCCTTCAAGTAGAATTCTAGTCTCTGTCCTTTTTTCTTTGCATTTTTTTGGTGGTGTTTGGGGGTGGTTTTGTTTGTTTGTTTTTTTTAAAGTCTCTTCCCATGTAGAACTAACTATGCTCACCAGTTCTTGTTTCTCTTTTCTATTTTTACAGTATGGGTTGAGCAGGACACAGTACTCATGACATGGACATAGCATAGTTTTGTATCTTGACATTCCTGCTTTTCATTACTTTCCTAATAATTTTATCTCCCTTGTGACTGCTCTTTAGAGACTGAGCTGGTGACATCAGTGAGCCATACACAATGCCTCAGTATCTGGATAAAAACCTGTAGCTATATGTCTTGGATAAGTTGGTTTAGCCTATGCATGCTGTTGTTAATTTATCAACAGTTAAGTTTCTCTTCATTTTAAGCTGGTCCTTCAAATGCCTTTCTGTTCTTCGTAGCCTTATTTTTAAAGGAAAATGAATGGTTTAAGCCCCATCATGAGACTTGCCACAAAAATTAGCATTGGTCCAAATTCTTGAAAGACATCTTTCTATCTTAAGTGATTCTTTTACTTAAATATTGGTCAGGCTCAGCCTTAATAACAGTGGACTTTAAGAAGAAACTGCTGTTAATTCTTAACTCCTTGTCATGGTTGAAGCCCAGCCAGCAGCTTGGCACCACGCAGCTGCTCACTCATTCCTCCCCCCTCCCAGTGGGATGGGGAGGAGAATCGGGGGGGGAGAAGTAGAACTTGTGGGTTGAGTTAAGAACAGTTTAATAACTAAAGTAAAATAAAATGTAATACTAACAATAATAAAAAATGAAATTATAACAGTTATAATGAAAAGGAATATAATAAACTAAAATATAAAACCCAAGAAAAGACAAGTTATGCACAATGCAATTGTTCACCACTCGCTGACTGATGCCTGAGCAGCAATCCGCCCCTCCCGGCCAACTCCCCCCAGTTTATATACGGAGCATGACGTTCTATGGTATGGAATATCCCTCTGGCTAGTTCAGGTCAGTGGTCCTGGCCATGCTCCCTCCCAGCTTCTTGTGTACCTGCTTGCTGCCAGAGCATGGGAAACTGAAAAATCCTTAACTTAGGATAGGTGCTACTTAGCAACAACTAAAACATCAGTGTGTTATCAACATTGTTTTCACACTAAATCCAAAACACACTGTACCAGCTACTAAGAAGAAAATTAACTCTTTCCCAGCCAAAACCAGGATACTTCTTTTTTTCATTAATACCAATTTTCCTTCTTTGCATCAGGTGGAGTGGAGTGGTTACAGATCAAGGACAGAGATTTTTCCTACAGCAGGCCTAATACGATTTGCAGCTTTCTGCGTGAAAAAGAAGATTCTGAGGAGTCAGCTCAGGCCCAAGACAAATTGACGGAGGAGTCAGAGGGAGAGGTGAGTGGTGGAGGAAATTCTGATATGAATTGTGATCTGGAGAAGCAGCACAGCTTGGAAATAGATGCCTCTATTCCTCTGCCTGACAGCCCTGCTTCTGGGGCAGAGGATTCTCCTTCTGGAAGTGTGGCCTTAGATGATGTGCCTCCCTGATGTCAGCTCTGATCTTTTCAGAATTTATCCATGGACTTAATGGGCCAACTTTTAAATGCCAACTTTTATAGGCCATGACATGATTTCCAGTTTATCTGAGCAATTAATAGTGGAAAAATGGACATAGTGTTCTTGTGCATTGCTTTTATGTTTGGATTATAGTGGGGAGGGCTTAAGTGTTTTTTAAAAATGCTGTTTGGAAATGTGTGTATCTCTACCTCAAAACTGAAGAAGAGGAAATGGTTACATAATAATAAAAAAAATCCCTACCTTGGAAAAATGTTGATGTATTGTACAGTCTGGGACATTTTGTAAAAAGAAAAAAAAATTGTTTAAAATAAAGTCCTGAATTTTTCAAGTATAGCTTTACCTTGTGTGTCATATTCAGCTCCATACTGTGTCTCTTCTTGTGCTGCAGTTATTGAAAGAAAAATTCAAGTAAGTGTGGCTTTTATTATTTGCTTGATTACTCATCAAATTGCTTAGTTTGGATTTTCTCTAGTGTCCTTTGTCCCTTTGATGGATCTTAGAAATCCTTCATGTGGGAAGGGACTTCAGGAGGTCTCTGGTCCAGTTTCCTACTTAAGATAGGGTCAACACTGAATTCAGGCCAAGTTGCTCAGGGCTTTGTCCAGTCAAATCTTGAAAACCCCCGTGGACTAGTCAGCAACTGAAATCTAGGTCTTAATGAGGCATCTGTCACTCTTCCTTCCCCCATTTTCTATATAATATAATGTGTGTTACACAAAAGGAAGTATCTTAATTTTCTTCCCGTTTTGCTTCCTGTTTTCCTCTTTTTTTCTTTTTCTTTTTCTTTTTTTTCCTCCTTCCCCATTAACTTCTTGGCTCTGCTCTTCTCCTCTGTCATTGTTCTGAAGGTTTTTATGCTCAAGATCCTGTACCCATGCATCAGTGGTTCCCAGACTGATCCATGTGACTGTCTTGTGGCCCCTGGCGAGCCTGTGGGTTGATACTACATACTGCTACATCATTTTTATTGTCACACAATATTTCATGTGAAAGTTGAGTATGTGGTGCATTCATGGTAATGTTTTTAAAAGCACAGCATTTTTTTTTAAACTTAAACTATTTTGAGGGAGGCAGAGCAAGGTAGGAAGAAAGAAAGGTCAGGAGGAAAATGTTTTAACTGCAACAACGCTGTGAGGGTGGGGATGCCTAATTAAACCCAGCATAATTATGTAATACTTTAATTAGTAATGATCAGAGGAGAAGTTCACCCCCAGCGTTGTTCGCAGCATAGGATCAGTAAAGATAAGCCATCAAAACAGTGCAAGAGTTCCAAACCATCAATCCCACTGTTCTGTTTTTCTGTGTAGAAGCAACTTGGATCATGGGGGAAGAGGAGGAAGAAGAGGGGACACGTTCTGTACTCCTCCAGCCTGGGCGCGGATCTTTCGCGTGGTAGTGTCTGCACTTCAGGTTTCAGGGAGATGGCTCAGCCTTCCCTCTGGATTTAACTGCAGTCGTGGAAGTCTAAAAGCATTGTTCAAACTTGATTTGTATGGTGCTGATAGACAGAGGATAACTATGACTGGAATAACGGTCTTGGGACTATGAAGAACGGGTATAATATGTGCTCTTGTCTGCAGTGGGGAGCGTTTGCGGTGCTGGGCTGCGCTTGCTGGCAGCTGAACCTCCTGCGAGGGAGCCGGACGGACAGGGTGGGCTGCTGATGGACAGTCCTCACTGTCATAGCTCCTGCTGCTGAGGACAGAGAGACGCTTCCGAGAGCTTACCCTCTGTCAGCGTGTGAACGTAGCAGCTCTCTCTCAGGTTTTGTTAACCGACTGCTACATCTGTCACCGTGTATGTGTAAATTTTTTTTATTATGTGCAAGCGGTATTCTAGCAGAATTGGGTTTTGACCTTTTTCAGCCTTTTCTTTCAGTAATATACTGAAGCTGGTTTTTTTGTTCTAGTTTATCTGGGAATCAGGGTTTTTTTAACATTTATGTATATCATAAACTATGAGTACCTTCATAATAATGTTTTTTAGTTTTTAAGTGTTATTTATAATGCTCAAACTTTTGTTTCTATTATTATTAGCCCTAACTTTTGCAACCATACTCGCTCTTTACCTGTCTTTTTCTCCCAGAAAGCACGTGCTGTGAGTCTGCTGCTGATAGCAAATTCTTCAGCTTTACTGATTTCACCTAAAAAAGCCCAACAAGTTGGTTATTTCAAGTTCAGTTCAAAACTGGTGGGTGGGGGGGGTGGCATAAAAAGGGTATTGGGCAAGTATGATAGCTGGACATAGGATTACTGCCGTAATCATCCTTGCCTGGTTATTATGGGTTGTTCACAGCCCTGTGCCTAGGTGCTGGGCCATCCCTGTCGTTCCTTGCCATGTCTGGTGTAAAGCACGTGATGATGGTTACCCATGTATAGGATGTTCAGCACTTAAAAAGAGATTCTTTGAAAAAAAACTTTGGGGAAGGTTCGGAGAAACCCAACTTAGAGAAGCAGTGTGCCGCAGCACGTCAAGTATTCGGCTTATGGGGACGCTGGGAGATGGGTATGTTCCGAATTCGATGTAGGTAGTGATTCAGAGAAATTGACTCAATAGTTTGATTAACTATTAAGTAGGTATTCTTTATTGGCAGCACTGGATGCACGGGGATCGCTCCACCTATCGTGCACACCGTCGGGTCTAATTGTGCAGGTTAAGTACATGTTCTACATACATATTCACTAGATTTCCGAGAAATGTTATACATATTCATTAGTTTCCCAGGAAACTGTTAACATATGCAAATGTCCTTTATGCAGGCGCAGTGGAGGTCTCTGGTGGTCTTCAGGAGTCCTCTGGTGGTCTTCCATAGTCTTCCTCACTTGTCCGCTATTTGACCCTCCTCAGGTGATTCTGTGCAGTATGGTCCTTTACATGTTTTGATACATCAGTGCTTGTTAGTGCTCTTATTATCTAAGTTTTCATTAGTGGTGTAGAACCATATGGCTAGTTTAAGCTAAATTATCTACAAGGACGAGAACAAAGGCAGGAGTTCTTATCTTTTCCGGCCCTATCTATTCAAGCAAGACCTCTACTTGTGCTTCTCAACAAGATCGTAAATTCATCGAACATTTAATTAAGTTTTGTGATTGTTCATGGTTCCTTCTTGCTCATCACTCCCAAGTACCAGTCTCTGACAGGCTTAATCCTTGACAAACACCAGTGTTTGGTATGTAAAGTTACAGAGAGACAATCATTAAGCAATTAGCAGTTCGTTCTCTATATCAGTAG